AGGCGCGAGTTTAGGCCAGAGCCGAGCACGACGCGTGAAGCTGGCCCTGCAAACCGGCAGTATCGCTTGCGCCGGTCACCGTCGTGCGGTGGCCCATCTGAACAGCGTGGAGGATACCCAAGGCGCCCCCGCCCAGCAAGGCGCCGCGAAAGTGTCGTCCTTGCGGTTTGTGAAGCGTTTGCGTGGTGAGCACGGCACAACTTAAGGAGCCAGTGCTTCGCACTTCAGAGCACGGTTCCAGTGGGGGTCGCATAGCAAGCAGTAGGAAAGTGATGGAATAGGTATGCGGTACCAGGAAAGCGTTCCGGGCACACAGCAAGACAGGAGTCTTGCGAAAAAGAAAGCATGCGGGCAACTGACATCTTATGGAAGACTGTGCTTAACGTGCACGTGTTAAGTGAGGCTGCACAGTTTTTCTTACTTCTCCCAGTTTCTAACAGTTTGAACACGCAGCCGTCATGATGGAGCACACTGTGCAGCTTTGAGATGTGTCGAGCAAACAGCCCTGACAGTTTCGGTGCCTCTGAGTGTATCAGCAGGGTTTGAACCTTTCGGTCTGTCACTTCAGCTGGCGAAGTCGCTGGCAGTACAGCAGCAGCATGAGAGAGAAATCATCCTCGACGATGGGAATCGCGGTTACCTTTGAGGGCCTTTGAAGGGGCTGTGTACTTTTATGGTCCAGCTTTCCGTGTTGAGTCCCTTGTTTGTTTTTTTTCCCGGCTGCTGGCCCGCCTTTCATATTTTGGGGGGTGTTGCTGCCAAATATGGGTCCTTGTTACTCTGTCCTACGTGTTCTAATTCTTTCTGAGATACATCTTTTTCCCTACCCAAATGCTTCTTGTCCCTGCCTGTTACTTTCATAGTCTTTTCTGTGCGGTGCTTTCCCCCCTGTTTTGAAGCGGGTATCGTTGGAGGTTGCTGGACAGGTAGGCCTGCTGTTGTCACTTTTGTCAGTGATGGGAACAGGAGTAGCGTTGTTAAAAGTACGGTCTGGATTTGACCAACCGCCGGTAGGTAGACTGAAGTGCTGTGTGCATGTCCTTTGGTGCTGTGTCTCAGGAGCTGAGAGGACGCTCAAGCAAGCTCTGTGGGAAGGAATCCTAGGGGAACTTTAAAGCTCTGGCCAATCTTTACCTTGTATGTGTAAACTGGCCCTTTCAGGGTGTGTGATATAACTGAATGTGAGTGACTTTCATGTAATTAGTGTGTCTGGCTCAGGTATCGACGAATGTGCTTTGGGAGAGTGATGCTTTGAATGGCAGGACTCACAGAGGACCCTGCCTAATCAGGAACCAAAGAATCGGGTAAAAATCAAAAAGCTGGAAGACGTCAGGCTTGTGGAACTACTGGTTTCCTCCCATTTTTCTGCTCCCTGGTCCTCCACAGGAACGATACCTAGATATCTGTAGCAAAAGCAAAACATGATGGGTGAAGGGCTGGGTTCTTCCACTGGTTTCCAATGTGTGAAAAGTGCAATCTTTTCTGATCTCTGAGGCTGATTCTTTATCAGGAGGCCAGTCGTGGGTAAAGCAGATCTGGGAGAACTGCAGATTCTTCAGCGTTATTCTTCTGCTCCAAATATATATCCCACTCTTTGCCTTGACTTGGCCTTATAGCCTTGGAGCTCGCTCGGATGCTGGCTTGCGGCACGGAAATGTCAGCAGTAGGTTTGAGATAGTTACAGTGCCGCGGCGCTCATTGCCATGCTCAAAAGAGAACACAAATTTTTTTGCTCTTTGTATCTTGTCATCACACTTTTTGAAAAACTGTAAAGATGCTGCGTGCCAATGGAATATTTTTAAAACTTCCTGTTTACGGAGCAGCTGCTGCTCAGATCACTTGTTATTTCAGTTGTACCATTAACGCTATCATTTTAATGACTTGATACCTAAATAAACTGATGTGAGTTTAAATAATACTATGTGACTGAAGTGCAGATACGCAGATACTAAAATATTTCAGTGATTTCCGCACACATATAAAAGGGACATGCCTTCAGATATAAGTCTTTTCCTCCTTCAGCATGCTTTATCTTAAAAGCAAAAAGTTTGGAGCAAGGATTAAGTGTAAAACTACTAGTCTTAAGAGTCATCAGAACACCCAAGTTACAAATACCTAAGCTACCGCTTAGTCTTTCTGTAGGGGTGGGATAGCTAGTCTACAGAACAATGTGCTGTAGACCAACAATAATCAAAGCCTGAAAAAACCCTTGAGACAATCACGTGAAGTTTTGAGTCACTTGTAGGCATTATCTGGATGTGCTGGTTTTGGGAAGAAATGCTGTGACTAACTGTGCAGGAGGGAGGCAGCAGACCCTCCGGAACATTGCTCTGTTCACAAGCACATGTGAAGACAGCCAGGTTGATGTTGTTGGTCTACTGGTAGAATGCCATTCCTGCAGCCTAAAGCAGCTTGAGCTAACAGGGTAGTTACACTCTTCTGGCCGAACAGAAAGGAGCCATCTTAGCTGCATGTTAGCAATCTCCTCCAGCTGAATCAATTCCATGGAGGACTTGTGGACACAGCAAATGGTTGATTTGTTACAGTAGTGTCTTTGCTGCCCCATCAAGTTTCACCTATTGTAGCCTTTGCTGTTGTACCATTATTTGTAACAAAGTAACTAAAATTGCTCTCCTAAATGGTTTGAAAATACAGTTGACATTACATATCCTGAACCTAAAGTATTTTGAATGTCTTCTGTCAGAAAGTAATTTTGCAGACTTGCTTTGAAAGATTTTCAAATTAATGCATTATATTTTAAAATATTTGTTAAAGCAAAAATTTTTGCAGTGCCACTTGACAAATCATACTTCTTAGAAGAAATGTATAAATGTCGGTTTTGTTAAAAAGACTATTTCTTGGTTTTTGTTTTCAGGTGATCACTGGAGGTCATTATGATGTTGACTGTCGGTTGGAAGATCCCGATGGCATCGTATTGTACAAAGAGATGAAGAAACAATATGATAGCTTCACATTTACTGCATCCAGAAACGGAACATACAAATTCTGCTTCAGCAACGAATTCTCTACTTTCACCCACAAAACTGTGTACTTTGATTTCCAGGTTGGAGAAGATCCACCACTGTTTCCTAGTGAGAACAGAGTAACTGCACTTACCCAGGTAAAATGCTGTTGCGTTTGCCAGCAGCTGTTAGGTGGAGGTGATGTTTTTTCAAGTTCAGCTGCATTAGATATCTACACTGCTTTTGAAAATCAATGGATTGGAGCTTTTAAAATAATCTGAGTTACTACAAATAAGCTTTCTTTTTGAAGATAGGATTTATAGAACACAGAGCAGAGCTGAGAAGGAATTACCAACTGCTTAAGAGAAAATTAGGGTGGTAACTTAAACCTTAAACTCTAGGCCACTATTTTCTTTTTTTGTTTGGGTTTTTTTTGTTGTTGGGGGTTTTTTTTGCTTACAGGAACTCCCGTTTAATGCCATGGTTCTGTGCCTCTTGAAGTATGGATTTCACAAACTGTAAATATCGGTGGATCAGGGTTTTCAAAATTTCCAAACCTTGGTGAAACTTCGAGAATTGTTTTCATATTTAAAATGGCAGAGTCTTTTTGGGGGGAGGACTTAAGTTGACCTCTCATGTAACTGCCGTTTTTAAAATGGAGAAGAAAATTCCAGCAAAATAAACAAATTAACAAAATCAGACATATTTAGCTGGCTTCTAGATATTTGTGCTTTATAATCACTACAAAGTGTCAGAGCATTATTGTTATATTCTCAGGATCTTACAGTTTTGTACCACCTCTACCCAATCTAAATCCATCAAAACTGCCCTTGGAACACTTGCTTCATGAAGTCCCACTAATGGTCTTACATTATAACCATCACCAAAGCTCACTTTAAACAACCATTAAAGAATGCTGGGCATGGTTGCTATTTTGCTAGTCTGGACTCAGTGGTATAAATACCACTTCCCAAATGCCAATCTTAGTTGAATTTACCTCACATAAGTCTGCAGTAGCTGAGATCAGTAATGAGTAGATGACTTGCTGTGAGTTCAGCTACAGCTCTTACCTCTTTCTTCTTGTCACTCTTCTGCTTTATTTAGTATTCTGATTCTTGATCCTGTATCTTTCCATCTCTTTTCCTTACTTCAGTCTTCATTCTGTTCACTCTGTGTGTTCTGTTACATCTGTTTTTTCTTTTGCTATCTTGGCATCAGCAGAGGGGTTCTGAGAACACGGAACATGCGATTCCTGGATCTAGCATCTCTGCAGCCCCTTGCAGCCTGTGGGAGAAGATATATAAAAAAGTAGTTTATCACTGGTTTGTAGCATATGCAATGCAAATAAGGTGTTTGGGAAAGGGAAAGTTAATTTTCAGAGTACAACACATCTTTGGTAAGAATGTTCTTGTTGCAGTTTTCTTGAGGCTTGCAGCATGACCAAATTTGGGCAGCCTTTCACAGGGACAGTAAAAGGTAAATCCCTAAAACCAGAGTGACTTTGTATTTAAATCCCTTGTGCAGACTAGGAGAGCTCTGTAATTTATCAGTGAGACCAATGGCAGAACTTAGTTTGGAAAACCTCTTCCTGAGTTTTGTTGAGAAGAATATCTTAGTGTTGTTCAGACATCTGTCTTGAAAGTCATCAACTTGAAAAGATGGTTAGACACAGACATAAGTAACTGAGAGTGGTCCTATCAGGTTGTTAAACGTTTCCTTTTATGATATGTCGTGCTGTTCGATCTTCAGGAAATACTGATTTTAAGCCATAAAACAGAAAAACAAACTGTGACTAGAAATTAAGTGTTTTGAAGATCTACTGATTAATCTCTTGGTGATGAAAACACAGTGAGGGGTACTGACTTCTACTTACAGGAGATAAACTGAAAGTGGAAGAAGTTTATGTGAAAAATCATCTAGGGCTTGGAAAACTGGTAATACTTATTTTTTAACGAAAAATGACAAGTTGGGCAATTTGTTAAGTATTTGTTATATGATTGTGTTATGGAGCATTCAGGAACACTGAAAGGTAACAGAATTGTCCTTTCTCTAACGACTTTTTGTCTACATGACTAAGAGAAGGGTCTCTTGCCAAAAGAACATGTTGAGTTCAGTAACGTTGATTTTTAGGATGTTATACAGCTTGAGAATTATGCAATGAAGAATGTCATACTTGTGAAACACAGAAGCATTTAATATATACTATGTGCATCTTAATATTATAAGCAACTGTTTGTTTTCCTGGTATGTGTGGAATTAACAACTGGGAGATCACTGACATTTCAAAAGTGTTTCTTATGTTCATTTTGAACCAAAATATACATGAATTCACGATTTGTTTAGTCGTTCTCAGAGCCCGTTGCTTTTTACTAGATCTACAGTTTTACACGCTTCGGTATTTAATAGTCTGTCACCTTCCTGTGTATAGAGTTTGATCAATGTAATTTAAATTTTACTGCATTTAAAGTATTTCAGTCTGACAATGGACTGAGTTACTCCTTAGCTTGCAAAGTTACATGGATCCTAATTTGAAATATCAAACCACAAATCTTTGGAGAAAAAGCACTAGAAGTGTTCTTAACTCAGTGGTGTGTATTTGTTTGCTTCTCTAGATGGAGTCTGCGTGTGTTTCAATTCATGAAGCTTTGAAGTCTGTCATCGATTATCAGACGCACTTCCGTTTGAGGGAAGCGCAGGGCCGCAGCAGAGCAGAGGATTTAAACACGAGGGTGGCCTACTGGTCAATAGGGGAAGCTATCATTCTTCTTGTCGTTAGTATCGGGCAGGTATTTCTCCTCAAAAGCTTCTTCTCAGATAAAAGAACCACAACAACCCGTGTTGGATCATAACTGGTAGTAGTAATGCTTCAGGTCATTGTCTGCTACTCATCTGTAAAAATTACTGTTCTCCAATTAATTGCAGGTACAAAGGATCTGAATATATGCAACATTCAAATGTGTCTACCCCTCTTCCCTTAAAAAATCACAAAACAAACCCAAAATGTTATGAAAGGGACACGATTTGAAATATTTTAAAAATACTTTGGAACTTAATTTCGTTCTGATTCCTGTATTAAATATCTGGCAGTGACCAGCCTCTTCATTTCTACTGGTTTTAATCCAAACCGAGTTTGATTTTTTCCAGTAAGATTAACCATCTGCAGTATAACACTTTAAAATAACCCAACAGTCTAGTGTCTGATTATCTGAGCCAATATATATGAAAATCTGATTTGATTTTAATTTTCAGGCTGAATGTTTTGGATTATAAAAAGGCAAATGTGATGAACTGTAGTGCACTGTTTTGATTTGCTGTTAAAAAAAAATCCAATGATACCCCTTGCTTATTTGTAAAATTGTTGCAAGCTTGACACTACATCACAGTGCAAATTCTCCATCAGCCTGGTAAGTCTCCACCTTCAAAACTTGCTAAATTGTATACTTGAGTATGTTTGCTTAAACATACGTTCTTCTACGTTGAAATAAATGCATTTCTTCTTTTACAGTGTTTGTTTCACTGAAAAACTTGTAAGCTGAGAATACTCAGGAGATCCACTTTCTGTATTCAAAAATCCAAATCTCCCAAGTTTATTTAAAAAACATGCAATAAATAGGGACTCTTGTAACTTTGTCACTGAAACTGTACAGTTTCTGTGCTCGTTTACGCTGCTACTGCTTTTTGGATTTAAGACCAGAAGTAGCTTGGCTTGTTAAGCAGCACAGCACCAGCACTGGACGAGGTTATACTATTTGTTAGGCACATACAAAGCTTTTTACTAAATTGTTTTCCTATTAAGAGGCCAATTTAATATTGATACTGCATTGCACGAGTGCTGTAAATTTTACTTCCCTGTGTGTGGTGCACTGACACTTGATGGCCTTGTGCATCTAGTTGCCACTCTTTTTAGCTAGTGGTCAGGAAATGTTTTAAATATTTCAGGTTATCTTTTTGGTAGAGTTATAGTTACATTATTTCCACTGCTCATGTCTTTAGTAGCTTACGTACTGTAAAGTCTTGTTTTATTTGGATGTGGAAGGTAGTAAATGTATGTACCTACAAGTAGCTTGAATTGAGCTGGTCATCATAAGGCTAAACTTCAAATGGCTCTGGAGGAATAAGTAGGCTGACCAACTCCTAAGGGCACACAAACTAAACTAAGGTGAAAAAATTTGTGATATATTACTGGCTAATTCAAAAGATGCTTCTTAAACAAGTTCTCAGCAAGCAGAGAAAGAATGCTGAACCCTTATTAATTGCCTGTATTATTTCTAGCAAAAATTTGAAATTATATGTACAGGTGACACTTGAGCAGTCTGAAGAATTGTTCTAAGATGACTTGATTTTAAAATCTTGTGATGGCTGAAAAAAATAAACAAAAGTGCACCTACTCTGTGTTGTGAACTGAATGACTGCTCCTTTGGAAACTGAAGAAAGACCTCAAACAGCTCAAAAATTATTTAAAAGGTCACGGGGGTATTAAAAAGCTTAGTGTATGTAAAATGCAGGATTATATGTAATGTTTTTCTATCCTATACTGAATTTTAAATACTGCAGTCCCATTTTGGGATGTGAGCTTCCCAGAAATAGTTAGACACACAAAGATCAGAAAACAAAAAAAACTAGTGCTTTCTTCTTATGATACAAGTCTATGCCTGCACACAATATTCTTGATTGTACTTATATGCTTTATTCTTGTGTTTCAGCAACTGATGCTCAGAACTTTTTGTGCTGCATTGCACACAATAATGAAGCGAGTGGTACACTTTGGGTGCAAGTGTCGGATGAAAATGTAATTTAATTTTGATAGTGTCCACTATTATCTTTTGGACTTTGAATATCACTTGTGTAGCTTTAATCACAGCAAAAGGATTTGTTTTAAAGATTGAAACATGTTGGGCTTTTTTCCACTGAGTTGTTCCATGTGCTGTCAAAATTGGCAAACAATGGGATAAAACAGGTAACGGTCGGCCATCACGTACATGTCTCTTTACTCTTTCATAATGTTTGAATGTGTGAAGTGGGACTGTTCAGCTCAATATTACTCCCACTGCAGAGGTTTAGTGGACTTGACTTTTGCATTGAAGTTAGGTATCCGAACCAATCCTCTGGTATCCTGCTGCATAATATGCAGCAATAGCTTAAAAATGCCTTTTATTTTTGTGTTATTAAAAACATGGCACAAATACACGTTTAAACATAGCTGTATATAGTTTTTAAAATAAGTGATTGAATAGGATATAATAAAACACATGCTAACACGCAGCGGGTGAAGAAATGCATTGTGACTTTCGGTTAAAGCTGCATCTTTTTAATATATGAAAAGAATAGTTTGGTTAATGGTGTGATACACAAGTAAACACCCTGCGTTAAAGGGGATATAACTGTGTTTTTAATTGCTAAAGGCCCTGGGTTTCAGCTATTCCTTGGATGTTTTATGTTTACAGAACTTCTTTTCATGTCCTGAAATGTCAGTTCTTGTTTTAGTTTGGGGAGGGGGGGAAATGTTTAGTTTGAATAAGACAAAAAGCAGACCCTGTGAATATTGTATGGGAAAATAAAAATTAATATATGAATGTGGTCTGATTGTTTTGTTTGCATGTGGGAGTGGGGAGCATTATTCTTCAAAAAAGCTTTAAATAACAATTTGAGTAGTCCGCTTGTATTTTAACACATTATAGTTAACCGACCGCCTGACACTTGATCATTACTTCTATTGCTGTACATCAAGAAGTGTACCAGTTCCCTGCTGTTCATAATTAGCTGTGCTTTCAGGTCACTGGAAAAACTCAAGTTTCAGCAAGATAGTGTGGTTACTGGCTCTTTGCTCAGCACTCTAGCAGTGCAGGCAGTAATATTCATAAATCTGTTCCTGTTGGAGTGGAATTTGAAGTATTTGACTACAGATGCCAGGAATGATTTGGGACCTACTGCATCTTTTCACATTAATTCTACAGATAAAAGGTTAATATGGGATCAGCTAGACAGGTGCATCCAATTGGTGTTGTCTAATGATGGGATATAAACTTCAAATATTAGATAGTAACTAAATGTTTCATTGGAGATATTTTATATTGTGTAGCTTCTTGCTGAATCTTAGCACAAACCAGTTAAGTTTTAAAAACGGGACAGAGTAGACATCATTGCTTTGTGTGGGCACTTTCCAAAATGGCTTTTTCTTCCCATTTGTGTTTTCTCCTATGTGGGTTGCTGTACATTCAGAATTTTTCAAGAATATTTACAGTACTTGGATTAAAAGAAGCTTTTGTCTAGAAGTATGGGTAAGTTCTGCTCTTCCAGTGATGTGTTACTGTTATGGTCTACTAGTTGTCTGGAGATTTTTTAGGTGCCTGGCACCCAGGATTTGAAAGTAGCTTAAGATAAGTTGTGGTCTGAAGCACTTTTCTACTGAAAGCTGATCATCTTACCAAAAAAAAAAAAAAAAAAAATCAGACGAAGTGAAAAGATGAGTCAGTGGATCAGCTGACTTGTACGATGATGAAGGCTTTTATTGAGGAGGAAGTAGAAACATGCTCTGGACCACTGCAACCCATTTTAAACAGTTTCTCGGACTGCCTGAGGGCACAACTGCAGCAGGGGCACCACAACCTGGATTTTGTATGACTTACACAATGGCAACAATTACTGAAAGAAATTTTTAAAGCCTGACCCTGCAGTTCAGTGGGGAGTTACAGTATAACATCAGTGTGCAGAAAGCTGGTATACTGCACCTCGTTACTCTAAGAGAGGTTCTGTGCTTGTTACGTGAGTGAAGTTCATCAGGTGATACGGATCCAGTTTCCTAAGTAGTGTGGGTTTTTTGCAGCTTATATTATACATTTCTAAAGGAAAGCAAGCTTATTGCATATTATCAAGAACTCAGATTTGCATTGTCTAACACAACTCTGGAGTCATTGCTATTGACTTCAGAGGCTTTTGTGTGGATTTACCTTCAGGTCCCATCGAAGTGTGTCTCCTAATCGTTATTCTTTGTGTGCAAACGTTTCGTGCATTTGCTTTCTGCCTAGTGGGGCTCATCAGAGGAAGAAGCCATGCTCATACTCAAGGAGAAATCCACCAGTAAGGGGATCATCTAGTGCCAATGATTATTTAAAACTAAGTCTTAGCAATCCTCATTACCATTGCTGAGTAATTTCCCTCAGCCACTGAGGTAGTCTCTATGCATTTACAGCTGATACGTGCTAATTCTGCTTGTCAGTAAGACCATGGACACGTCCCTTGAAGTGATCAAAATCTTCCAACATCACCTGATTTCTTGTTAAAAACAGATTAAAGTCCTTTTTCTGTATAGCTCAGTGGAGGAACGGTCCTCCAGGGGTGAGGTGAAACCAAGAGTTTAACACTGGCCCTAAATGAGACAGATGCAAAGTCTTTCTCTCACATTCCTCCCCTTGACGTCCACGGTTATCGAATCAAGTTTCAGAAAAGTCATGTTAGGTTGTGTGCATACTGAGGATGCTACTGATCTTGAGCGAGTAAGTGTTGTGAGACACCAGGGGAAGCTGCGACTCGTCTCAGCTTAGGAAATACTCCAGTTACCCACCAGTAGCAGCTCTCAAAATGTTCATTATTTGTATTAAAAAGTCCATGTTACGAACCTCAGGGGAAGATCTTACGTAAGCATAAGGTGGTTTTACTTTGTGATACTTCTAAGCAGATTGATTTGACCCACTTGCGACTTCTCCCCCACCTGCTGACAAGAACCAGGACACGTGCAAGTGGTCTGGTCAGCATCACCGGTGTGCAACGCAGAGATTTTAAGCAATTTGACTGCCTTGTGCATCTGCGTTTTATGTTTCTTGACATTGCAGGCTGTTTTGCTGGTGGGCTAACAGGAAAAGGAGTGACACAGGGGGTATGCTGTAGCCTTGTTGCCATCCTCCTGATGCAGAGTCCTCTGCTGCTGAGACAGCTGTGCTGTGGTTTTGCCAGAGTGCAGAAACTAATCCTGACAGGAACACCATGTTCCTCAATTTCACTGCTGTTAATTGTGTGTTTGGTTAGCAATAGAGGCCATTGAACAGGACTTCCTAAATATTTTCATAGTCTCTATCTCTCACCGTGAGACACTGTCCAGCTCGGAGTGCAGCGAATGAGACGTGGTACAGCAGGATGCCATCCCTTCAACAACCTGCATTTTCAGGTACACGTTTCGTAGCTGAGTGCATTTTGTTGGTGTGCTCCCACCTCCTGCCAGCCATGTGTGACAGGGCATGGTCAGTGATCAGCTGCGTATTTGAGAGGTCCCATGTGGTGGAGTATTCCTGGTTTAAGCAAGAACCTTCTTGTTAGGGAAGTGATCGGTTCCTATCCATGTCTTGGGTATTCTTTCCTTGGGTTAACAGGGGGAGGTCCCGGATGACTGGAGGCTGGCCAATGTGACGCCCATTTACAAGAAGGGCTGGAAGGAGGATCCGGGGAACTACAGGCCTGTCAGCCTGACCTCGGTGCCGGGGAA